CATTACTATACCCCCTCTCCGAACAATATACCCCCAGGTATAATTCAAGTTTTTTAATTGGTGGAATGTAACATACCTGGGTCGTCTATATGGCCATTTACGGTAATTTTTGCTATTTCAATTTTAACTGTTATTCAAGCTCATACTGTGAAGTTTATAACACTTACTATTGCAGTATACCTTTTTAGATTTATTTTATTTGCAATAATTTAGTTAGCAGTTTGATTACTCAAGTCATAACATTTACAGTAACCTGTCTACTATTTTATTTATACAAATTTAGAGTGACATTTAATAAATCGTAGCTTAGCTGATTAAATAGGTTTATTATTGTGATAAAAAAAATGATCGAAATCATTTTTTTTATTATAGAGTTGTACTTATTGACTGGAATATATTTGCAATATGGATATTCGGAAAATTACCGCAATAATTACTTCAATTAATCTTAGTACTTGTCAAATCACATTAAAAGAGATATCTAAGAGCACTCTTAATCAGGTATGAAAATTTTTCATTAGATAATTTATTTAAATTTTACTATTCAATTTCTAACACATATCTGCTAATCTGTGTAATACCCCAAATCAACTTCATTTCACTGACAAAGTAATTCTGGCCATTGTCATTAAGGTCAGTTTTAGAATTAGAAATCTTGTACGTATATGATCTTTTATAATATTATATAATTTCTATTTGCTATTTATTATTAAATACTAATATTAAATCCTATTTAAATTTTTAATAGTGAACTATATTTTAAAATGAACATTATTGCTATGTATCGGTTGTACTATTGTAAAGTTTTTTAATTGAATTTTGTTAATCGCGATATCGCAGGTTATACAGATCAAACATTTTTGATTTTTTTTTTCTTTTATTACAATACTAATTCACAATTTAACTTCTTTTTTTGTAGCATTATCTTTTTTTTGATGCTGATATTTGTTAAATCGTTGTTTACTGGAGCCGTCGTTTATTGGGACCGTTATTTTGTTGGAGTCGTCATTTTGTTGGAGCTGTTCAGCATCGTTCACAGGACTAATTGTTGAATCTGTCGTATGTTGGAGCTATTATTAGTTAGAGCCGTTGCTTGTCGCCGTTCATAAGTGTCTTTGCTCTTTTGCTATCCCTTAAATTGTTTTGCAGCCAAATTTGCCTGCAAACTTTTTTAAATTTTAAATTTTTTCAATAAAATTTTAA